CCACACCGAAACTCCGCCCAAGATCTACTGAAAATAATAAAACTGGAGAACACAAAATTTAACGTGGAAAACCCTCTGTTAACGAAGAGGAAAAAACCACCAGGGCAACAAGGCCGTAGAAAATCCACTATGTAAAAATTACACAATTTTTCTACATTCACTTATACCCAAAATTACCCTACATAATTTTCTACTCGTTAACCCTAACTCTCACCCTAAGGAATTTTTACCCTAAGGAATTTTTTATCAGAGATTAATTGTTAACACAATAACTCTGTGGGATGATTTTACATAAGAAGTAGCACTTTCTTATATAGGAGAAAAATCTCCCTCTCTTTCATTCCACAATCGATGTGGGACAAAGAGCAAAACCCAACAAGATCTCTTATGTGCACAACGCAAGAACTTATTCCACACACTTTCTTCTGTACCAAATTATTCAGGCATGATAAACGCACTGCAAATATTCTTACTTAAAAATTATGACAATTGAGAACCTGAAGGTTCCACCACCTTTTTTCCTCCATAAATTCACAAATATTCAAAAACTTTATCATTGCCTACCGAGCATTAAATCTGCACCATTGCATTGAACCCAACATTATAGTTCTAGCCATGGGAGGAGCCTTATTAGGATAGGCTCCTAGCTAGAAAAGTCGTATTGGTAGTGTAAATGACACTAAAAAAAACTCTTACATTCCAACGGAAAATTTCTGTTGCAATTTTTTATATTTTTCGTTGGAATAGCTATTCCAACGGATATTCCTACGTATAAAAATTCGTAGAAAAAACGGCCGTTGGAATAGCTAAAATCCAACGGAATATCCTATGGAAATAAATTCCTACAACTATTCCAACGGAAAAAAACCGTTGGAATTCCTCAACCATCCAACACTTATTCCAACATAAAATTAAGTTTGTTGGAATATTCATTGGAATTTCCAACAGAATTTTTTGCCGTTGGAATTTTTCGTTGGACTTGAAGTGTTTTATTGTAGTGTGACCTCGATTGGCTTGAACGACTTTGGATCCGTTCTCGGTTAAAGACCTGCAAAATAGTGTCGGTGATTGTCCCTTTATAGAGACTTCGACAATCAAGTCAGTAAAAGCTGTATATAGCTTGTATGTATTTTAGAGTGTGTAAAGTGTAACTGGACATAATAGTGGTGTTATCTTGTTATCCAAGACTGCCGCTCCGTACTGCCCAGGTGTCAAAACTGTTTGTTTCTGTTAGACCACGTGGCCCATTCCACGTGTTGTTCTTGTCTTAGTTATATTCATTTTTATCAGTTAGTTTGTCTTGTTAGACAGTCTAATCATACGACCGACCCGACTCCCTTTGGGGTAGATTGACTCTACATTTTCCATTGGAAGAGATAACTGAAGATTTGTTTTATTTGTTATATAATTAATGTAATATTTTGTTTGTAATAAAACATTACTGTATAACTCTTTTTACACATTTTCATAATGTAAAAGAAAATTCTAAAACTAAAAAACTGAATTTATAAAAATTAATTCTGTCGGATTAAATTTAGTAATATATGTTTCAAACCAAGAATTAAAAATAAAATATAGTTAAGTGTTGCGAGTTCACGATGGAGTATACAAAGTATGGCATTTAATGGTTTAAATATTCATTTTTGTTCATAAAGTATAACGAGTCGACCTATCTAACAATTCAGACGTCTCGGGTTGATAGCTAGCCTTTTTAAAACTCATTAGTGTAGGGCGTCACAAATTACGATTAACAAAACCATGTATCATTTCTATGTTCATGTGCACGTGATAAGATAAGATAATACCAAGATAATAATTTAATTCGTCCACAAATATAATAATAATAATAATAATAATAATAATAATAATAATAATAATAATAATAATAATAATAATAATGATGATGGAGAGTCAGAGACAGACAATTTGTGCTCACATGAACGCCCGCCCACCGTAATTAGCAAAATAAGGCACAAATATGTATATCATAGTATATCAAATATATATTGGGAAATACTACAAGTCTCGTTGCGGAACCAGTACGACGGAATTTGTAATCGTTAAATCATCATATGACCGTTGGAGATAGTTGATCTAACGGTTACAAAACCCGACGAAATGATTCCGTAAAAGAACCTCAGCATCTCCCTATATTACTATGCAATTACATAATAATAATTATATCATAGTGGAGATTATTAAAAGAATAAGACAAAAATAATAAAATAAAATGGGGGCGCAAATGGCGCCGGGCAGCACAAGTAACCGAACGGTTGACTTTTTACGGAACAGGTAAGAGTCCGTAATCCGTTACGCAATATACGGACTTTTGTACTTTCACGTTCTTCCCCTCCGTACATTCTCTCTCTCTCTCTCTCTCTCTCTCTCTCTCTCTCTCTCGCTCTATATATACACAAGTTAATTTCACACATTTTTCACTAGTTTTATTCTTGTGTCTCTATAGATATATAGATACCCTCTATAGTCTATACATACAAATAAAAAAATAAGTAATAAATAAAACTGGAGATGATGTATGAACCTCAAGTTATGAGGTTGAACAATGAATCTTGTAATAAAATTAAGAGGCAGATGATGCATATGGATAATAGGAGGAGGGGAAAAACGGGAATTGGTCAAGACGACGACGACGACGACGAGAAAAACGTAGTGGATTTGAGTGGGATGTCTTTGGACGTGTTGCCTAATCCCCCTCTCAATTTAGCTGCCATTTCCAGATTAGACCTCTCCAATAACAATCTCCAGGTAATTAAATTTTATTTATTTATTTATTTTATAATTATTTTAATTTTTTTTTTTTTTTACTTTTTATGAT